CTCCCTCACCCTCTTCTCCCTCAGCTCCTCTACCACAATCTCTCTTTCTTCCCATCTCAGTCTTTCGTTTCCCCCCCCAACCACGCTCTCTATCTAAATCTGTATTTTGTTCTCTTTCTCCGCGTCACCCCCTCCCCTATCTCTCTGCCTGTCTCTCTTTCTTCTTTTTTATGTTTTATTCTTTACTCGAAATACTAGACTAACAAATTACATTATTACATTAGTCTTAAATGAACAGTCTAATTAGACTGTGGGCATAGTAACAAACTAGAAAAAATCCCAAACAAAGCAAAAAAACATAAAAACAAATAAACAAACAAACATAAAACGATCAAAAACAGAAACAACAACAAAAAAGAACAGTTTTAAGATTAAGAGTTCACAGTTTTCTAAGCTAATCCTTAGTTTCAGACGGGGGCGCAGATGTCAACAATTCTCGCCCCGTAATCTGTTTAGCCTTGGAAGAAAAATACTTTTTGTTTAGGAACTGGCTAACTTCCTCATTCTTTCATTGATTCAGTCTTCCACAGAAATCAATTAAAAAAATATAATATGTACCCATTTACATCTCTCTATCTGTCTGTCTGTCTGTCTGTCTGTCTGTCTGTCTGTGTGTCTGTCTCTCTCTCTCTCTCTCTCTCTCTCTCTCTCTCTCTCTCGATCTCTGCTCCCACCCCCCCCTCCCCACTTTCTTTTTCTCTTTCCCACATATATAACTTTTTATGCATCGTTCTATATACGCACTATACCCAAATACATGACATACACGCACATGTACTTGCATCTCTACCCCCCCCCCCCTCCCCCAATCTCCTCACGTGGTGACGGTGAGCAGGTGAGATTGTTACAATAAAACGTTTGACTACACCTTCAAGTAGTTTCACTTCCTGGAGAATGTCCTCATTCAGAACGAGTAAATAAGTAAAGGTCCTCTTCACTCATATTCCTCTCCTGTGGTCGGTTTTCCTTCGTGTTTTCAACTGCGTTTTAATTTGTGCTGTATATTTCGCTAACACATGCACGACGGCACTTACTCTATCTACAATGTTTTCAAAACTCTTTTATAATAATTTTCCATCACAGTCCCCACTCCAATCTCTTTCCAGCTCTTTTTCTGATTATTTCAGACTACAGTCTAACTTTCATCCCTTCTATCTTATAAACGCGCTCGCGCACTAGCGCAAATACACACACCCTCCTGCTCACCAACACGCACGCATACACATACATGCCTCTCTCACTTCCCCCAAGCATGCACATACTATTATTATTATGGATAGGAATAAACACCCTTACACGTGCTTGCGCACATACACAAGCGTGCACATAGCCTATCATGCATACCACTGGTACTGATCATGTTTAATATTTACTAATTTGGTTCGCTGATGTGAAAACCGTGAAATTAGAAAGTTCGTTACGTTGGAGAGTAGATCTATATGTTTTTTAAAAATTTCAGTCACAAAGCATGATTTAATGTTTTCATTTTGCCAAAAGTATTTTTTTCCGCAGCTCACCGTGTTACACACTTTCATCTAATATTCTAATCTAAAGACACACAATTAAAATTCATTAGCCCCGCCCCTTTGGCTTTCGTTTTCGAATCTAGGGGAAGCAACCGCTATTTATTGTAACGATTCATTTCCTGCTTTTACAATACAAGTGCAAGGGCGGATCTTCTCTGTCTGGGTCTGGTTCAATGACCAACACCATTCACCCTGCAACTGTTGATAACGTGAAGGGACCTTTACTTATTTACTCGTTCTGAATGAGGACATTCTCCAGGAAGTGAAACTACTTGAAGGTGTAGTCAAATTTCCCAGAGCGAACGACATCGTGGAAAATATTCCTCTCCTGTGGTCGGTTTTCCTTCGTGTTTTCAACTGCGATTTCGTTTGGCACACCTTCATCCCGAAGTGTCCGAGTGTTTTTAGGAGTACAAGAATTGTTATTGTAGGCCTATAGGATATAGATTCTAGATCTAGATTTCTAGATCTAGATGGGATCTAGATCTAGCTATATCTATTTATGTAATGGATCCCTCTTTCCTCCTGAAGTTGAAGTTAATTGATTATCTTTTCCTGCACCAGGCTTACGTTAGAAGATAGGATCTCCTATTTTAATAGCAAAGCTTGAACAATTGAGTTCTTAGAGAAGGGTTTCACTCGAGCCCGACTTTTAAAAATATTTTTTATTGTTGAGTCTCCTGTTATAGCCTAGGCTAGCAGTTAATATTAGGTTTCCTTCATCTTGTATTCTTTTCTGGCTGGAGCTCAAAATGTTAGGTTCATAATACTCCACCATATTAGCCTATAATTTTGATCTTCATTTTCAATCTGTTTGGCATTGTTGGTGTGCATGACTCAAATGACTGTCAGTTATAAAATGTTAGTTCTCTAAATAAATCATTAACAAGAAGCAGATTTAGAATGGACTTATTATAGATCTAGATCTAGATCTAATTGGGGTTGTATCATTATGAACCTTGAAATGGGGCAAAGTTTGTAGTGAAAATCTTATTTCAAATGTTTCATTATTTAATCCAGTTGATGTTGACGTACATTCCAGGAAGAACAACTCTCATTGTGAATTATAATGTAGGCCTAGACATTGATGATTCTAGAGAAGTCTGGTGGATCGTTTCGGATTTTAGTTTTGATAATTTGTGCTGTGTGACAATTTGCAATGAACAATAACATGCCTGAGATATCCAGAACCCCATCATCCCGAAGGGATTGGGCTACAAGGATTCAAATACATGGTATTTTGCTCAAGAAACCATTTGGACATGCTTCAAATAAATGGACAAAAAGGTTGGTTTTTATGCTTTTAACGGGAGAGTGTACGCCTATTTTAAAAAATTTATTTGACATGATTTTGAGGAGGGGTACAGATAGTAAGGAAGGAACCGAATACCAGTCACTTCGTTACATGGTAATTTCATCACACCGGTGCAGTCAAGACGTCACAGTCATCTTGTCACACCCCAAATCCACAAGGTTGAATGGAGATGGTCATTTTGTCACACATTTGCAAACATGAAACACGCATTGTCATGGAAATCGCAAATCACGATTTTTGGGGAGGGTTGGGGCTGTGAGTGTAGGGACGGGGGGCTATGCAAGTCGTCGTACCTACCTGATCAGCTACACGGTTCGTAATTTATACAAATTGACAATATTAAAATATATCGAGTCAGATCAACACATTTAGGTATTAATATTATTGATTATAGATCAAAGGTGTGATCATTGGCAAGACCATAATTAATAATAATTATTATTTTTGTTTTATTTAAACATTAATGAACTACTGGAAGTGTACGGTACGTGCTGCGATTTTGCTAAAAGCTAGATCCTTACTTTCAAACTTAAAGTCTTAATTTAACTCTTTACCAGACATTGTTTTTGCCTTATTTAGAAAATACAATGTGTTCAACTATGGAACAGTTTGAACGAAGATTTAATTTACATTAAAAATGTAACTTCAAAGTAAGCTTTAGGCTGATCCTCAAAACTCTACTAGCATAAACAATTTTGGAGAGAGGCCTATATGCGAAGTCATTTCGTCACACATGATTGGGGTATGACGAAATGACTGGCTACCAAGGAGCCAAGGGTTGGGCATGATATTCTTTATTATACATTCTTTTCATCACTCTGCCCCCTCCCTCCCCCCTCCACCCCCCCATACCCAGTTTAAGCCATTCCAAACTCCCAGTTTAAGCCATTCCAAACTTGACAACAACTGCAACTTTGTTATTAGGCCTCTATACTATTAATAAGTAGCATACTTTCTAATGTGCATGTGTGTTTGTCATGTTTTGTTCTATTTACACTTCTGGGTTCTCCCCGTCAACTGAAATGAAAATGATGTATACTGGCATGACAAGAATATTTCTACTTTCACCAATTGTTTGCATTATTTAAAATAATTTTTACTGTTTTTACTCTGACCAAAGGATATGACATGCTCAACACACTCGGTCAGCAAAATCCTGAGTATTTGACTCAGTAACTTAAATGGGTACTGGTTTAGTTACAGATCTTTTGCACTGCAGCAGTCTACCCTAAGTCCCGCTTGATCAGCTATGGTCTACTGCGAACTAGGTGATCTGATTGGCCATGGTAACGACAGTGCTGGGGGCATTTAAGGCCAAAGGCAGTGGCATTTCATTACACTGTTGCGGTGTGTGGGTAGATTGCTTCATTTTTCGGAGTTATCAGATCAAAGAATTTTGCAATGGTAAAGACTATTATGATTAACAACAGGAGTGTAAGTGACCAGAATGGACTATTTTAAAGAAATCCCTACCCTCCGTCCTCCCCCTCCCCTGACGAACTACAATCGCTAAAACATTTGTATAGCAAATGACAGTCCTAAGCCTGTATGCAAGGGGAAAATATAAACTGATCCTTGTTAAAAGTTTCAAGCCTTTATAAACTGATAGACCTTCAACTAAACCATTTCATTTGTCAGACAGGTCAGGCAGTCAGGAACATCGGGTAGACCTTCAACTAAGCCGTTACCTTTAAAACTTTGTCAATTTGTACGTTTTATTTTCTCTGCTTGCTTTTGATTTGTTGGGCGAATTGCTTTTTTAAATGCCTGTGAACAATTAATCAGAGTTCTGTTATTTGATATGAAAAAAAGTTTTAAAAAAAAAAATACGCCCAGAAATCAGAGAAGATAATACCAGAAATTTAGAACTACTTTTGAGAGACAGGGATGGTTGGTTTTGTTCAGGTTAATGATAAAAAAAAATATTCAAGAAAAGCTTTGATTAGGCCTATTTACAGTGGGTCTTCTTTGACTCACTGAGAGTATAAATATCTGTGTCAACAAAACATTTACACAAAGTCATGGTATTGTTTGTCTTATTGTTTGTTCATCAAAACTTTATCAACATTGTTGGGAAGGGCACAACCTCTTTTTGTTGGTTGTTTAATTATCCTTAGAGGTTGAAAGCTGATGCCATGTGTTTGCTGAGTAATGGGGTGAAGGACCGAGAGCCTACGGTAATGTTTGCTGCTATGGTTGTTTGTTTTATTGAGTGAATTTGAGGGTTGCTTTTGAAATTCTGCTGTAGTTGTTTGTTTTAGAATCAGAAAATATCACAGCCCAAGAAAAACGAAGACAATTGCCACTGTTTTGAAGTACTTGTTCATTGTTTTTTTTGCTGGTTGTTTTTGCAAGATCAACTATTTGATTTTTAAAGATCAGTTATGACGGTTTTGGAATAGTCATAGTGCTTTAATGTTTTATTTTATTTCTCTTTTGAGGGAATTGAAGTTATTAATGTGCCATTTTCATAACAGATTATGAATTTAAAACTTGTTTGATAAATCACAGCAAATATAAATTATAAAACTTTGTATTACGTTTGTACCTTGTTTTTGTGCACTTGTTTCATTTAATTGTCAATGAGACCTGCAGATTCCCTTAAATCTACTTTCCACCACTGCAAAACTTGGACTTTTAACAAATCAGGCCAAAGAAACTTGAATATGTGTGCATTCTCTTCTGTGTAAGTTGAGTAAAGATAGCATTTTCTCCCAACTTGACAGACAAAGGAACACTTGACAAATAGTGGTAGCATTTATTTTCAGCAGTTCTGATAAGAAGTCCTCAGACGTGTGTATGTTGAGATGTCAAGTACCCTCTGTCAGTTCTCCAGCCCATGGGGTCTTTATGTTTTAATCATGTGCCCGTGTGTGCTTGATTGTGTCTGTATGTTTGTATTTTTGTTTGTGCAAATGTCGATACATTTATAGAGATCTATGTGTGAATTTGAGGAGACTGATTTTCTGTCTTTGTGATGTGTGCAGATGTTTGTGTATCTATGTTTGTGATTGTACATTATCATTAAAAGTGTGGGTGTGGGTGTGAGTGTGGGTGAGTGGTTTTAGTTTGAAACAGCAAAGAAAATTTATGTTACGAAAATGTCAGTTGTTTTTCAATTCCAAACTAAATAAGTCAAGGGTTTTGACAAATGAATACATCTTGATGGGAATACTTTTATCTTCCTTTTTATGGTGTTGTTATTTTAGTGATATTTTAAATCCTCTTAGAGTGAAAAGTGCTGCAAACATTTTTTTTGGTTAAAAAAAACAAATGACAGCAGAATATTATGTTTGTTTGGTTTTTAAACAAGAAGAAAGTATTTTAAAGATTAGTTTTCTCTTTTAGTTTTTCCTGGCTGTTTCAATTCCCAGTTGTCTTTCTATGGTCTTATCTATAATGATATTTCTGAAAACTAGTTGCATTATGAAATCACTCAAGAAATGTGTGTAAGCAACATTTTTTTGTACCACAGGTTTTTCCTTGTCAAAGATGGCTACCTCATGTATTATGATGCTAATGAGAAAAAGGACTATGACCGGCGAGAATTTTTCAATATACATCCAAAGGTTGGTACACATTTTGTCATTCTGTTCTGATGCCTACTTCTGAGTATGTGGAGTATTTTTCGAAAAGTGACTAGTCTGCTTTACAAAAATTGTACAATATATCCTGGCCTGTGAAGTAGTAACTCGGAAAACAGAAACTATTTTATTTTGATTTATTGAGTGTGGATGTTAGTTTCTTTGAAGATAAGATTTAGGTATGACATGTCTCTGACATGAATAAGACCTGCATGGCCATTTTGTAATGTTTTTTCATCTGAGATGACTATTTATAGAAGGTCTATAATCAGACAAGCCTCAAAATCAAGTAAAAAATTATAACAAATTTTTAAAAGTACTTCCTCAATGAAATTTCCGGTACATGATATAAAATATGGAAAAGTTAACTGTCCTGAAAAGTCAAGGATATTGATAGTACAGTTGAATTCTTCCAATATGGCCACCCTTTGTGGGGGAAGAAAAAGGTGTTGGTTGCGACGGGTAGATGTCTTGGACTACTTCAGATTGATACAATAGAGAAAAAATACTACAAGGGTGAGCTAGTAATTGATACAGGTGATGTTATGGACAGGTGGCCGGTAGAGTAGGTTCAACTGAATGTCCACATAAAAAGTGTAGAGTCTGATAAAAGTTATTGTACACTAGAATTTAATCATCATCATCCTTGCCTTTCTCACCCTGGATCAGGATATAGGCCTGGAACAAACACTTTCCACTTTTCCCTATCCTGTGCTAGTCACTTGATGTCCCTCCAGGTCTTCCCACTTTTCTGTACATCCTTTTCCGTGACTCTCCTCAAGGTTTTGAATTTAATGGGGGTTTCTCTTTTTCATCTTCAGGGTGTCCTACCTTTGGGGGAGTGCCATTTCAAAGAATCCAGAGAGCAGCAGCAACCCTTTTGTATTACTATTGATAGTCCAGAAATAGATGTAAGTTGTTCAATGTGTCCTAATGTGTGAGTGTAAAAGTGTCTTGTGGTTTGCTTTGGTCTATCGTCTGTTTGAGAAATTTGTATCTCTGCCATTCTTGTTACATTTGTTTAGCAGCTCGCTGCATTTCCTTGTCGGTCTGTTCACATTTGTCAGTAAAACAGTGATCTGTGTCAAGCTTTATAGTTTGGGTCACTCAAATATGTTGCTTGCTGTCTTAGTACCTGTTTGTGGGCTCTCAGATAATGATGATGATTATAGGCCATATTTATAAAGTGTGTATTGTATACCCTTTACTGTATATTAATATTACAGACCCTTTAATTAACATTCTGAAACTTTGTCAGCTTCCCAAAAAAGCGTCCAGTGCAGGCTGCCATTTTCAGGCTTTCAAAACTAACATGCTGACAGGGTCTTTCTTTGTATGCACCTCTATCCATTCTCACCTGTGCGAAGTGAGAAATATTTATGTAAAGTGTCCTTCCTGAGGAACGAGGAACAAAAATTCTCTGTGTATGTGTTGTGTGAGTTTGAGAGTGTGTGTGTGTGTGTGTGTGTGTGAATGTGTGCTTATAATGTGTGTATGAGCGTATGTATATGCATATTTGTCTTCATGTCTGTTTGTCTGTCTCTCAACATGCTCTTTCTCTTTTTGTGCTTGCCTATGCATGCTGAAGTATATGCATGTATGTGGGCAGATTTGTCTGCCTGTCTTTTTATCAGTCTGCCTTTTACTTCTGACTCTGCCCCTGTTTTTGTTCGGACCAAAACCTACCTGCAAGCCAGGTGACACTGTCTGTCTGTCTGTCTGTCTGTCTGTCTGTCTGTCTGTCTGTCTGTCTATCTGTTC